AGGATGAGAACAGAAATCGTGCTCGGGCGGCAGCAGGAGGTCCCATTAGCTAAAGTGGTGCTTCAGGTTAAGAACAGTTTCAGGTTAAGAACGGAGCTCTGGAATGAATTAAGTACTTAACCCAAGGTACCACTGTACAAGTAAATAATTATCCTTAATCGTTTTTCAAGAGAGATCCCACTTGGACTGGAAAACCAATGGAGAACAAAAGACAAATCCTGCAGAATCAGCCCAAAAGTCCATCTCGTGAACTTATTAAGGGGCAAGGATCTACCTTTGTGTATGTGTGTATGCTTATGTTTTAAAAAGCTGTGTACATTGATGGCATAATCAGAATCGTAACACTGCTGGGCACCCTGCCCCCCAAAAAAAGAAATTTGCAAAAAAGCTCTAAATAAATCATTTGACACTTGTATTATTAGGCATTCAGGTGAGTGGTGATTCCTTTATTCCCACGTTGTGAGAGCATTAATCTTGAGAAAACAGCATTCACCCTTTTTTGGCTCCTACACACATGCACACACAATATATCTATATATGTATGACAGATACCTGGCTTTAAATGTCAGGTTGTATCAAGCTTTTCCCCCACCTCTCCTTTTCTTTTTGAACAGCGATTGACATCCTGGCATTTTTGAGGGGAGCTGTTTTAATAACAACACCCCCTTCAGAATCCAGAACATGTCATCCCTTTGTGCTAATACATATAATCACTGGGGCAGGTGTTCCCACCTCTCCATATGAAGGAAAGCGTTTGCCAGGATTAAAAACCTGTAGTAAGCAATATAAATTATTTCTCACATGCACCAGCATTTCTTGCTGAGGACAAGTGAACTAGAACTGTTTTTAAAACCATATAATTATGTTACTAGGTATCATTTATTAAATCACACTCACTACCCCCACCCTCTCATCTTTTCAAGTTCTTCCTGGAAAACACTCTTCTGTTTCAGAGAGGCCGATTGGCCATACGCCTTCCCTTTAAGAAAAACGGTTTTTAAGGTGGAAAGCAAACAAGGAAGGGCTGCCTTAAAAGGTGCATGTGACGGTCAGTGGTGCACTGGAGCAGGAACGGGGGTGGGGGGAGCTTACAGGGGAAGCAATGTTATCATCTACCTGAGAAGTACCGTATTTTTTGCTCTATAAGACGCACCAGACCACAAGATGCACCTAGTTTTTGGAGGAGGAAAACAAGAAAAAAAATATTCTGAATCTCAGAAGCCAGAACAGCAAGAGGGATCGCTGTGCGGTGAAAGCAGCAATCCCTCTTGCTGTTCTGGCTTCTGGGATAGCTGCGCAGCCTGCATTCGCTCCATAAGACGCACACACATTTCCCCTTACTTTTTAGGAGGGAAAAAGTGAGTCTTATAGAGCAAAAAATACGGTATTTGCCCTTGTGGCAAATCTGTAGAGATGGAGGAGATCTGTGTGGCACATGATCCTTTGGTTAAGGAGACTAGGTTTAGACAGCGATTGGCCCGACGTCATCCAAGGTGCCTTCAGACTGCCAGTATTTTGCAGGAGTGATTTAATCGCACCCCAGAACTTTAGGTTTGTGCGTTTATGTTGGATAAAAATGCCCTGTAACCTTTCAAAAACAACCAAGTGGGCTTCTTTCAGTTTAGAAGATGATGGGGAAATGCATTAAAGTGTGGCATGAGTGAATGATCAGCAAGGAGTGTGAAAACCAATGAGGCTAGAAACTGAATTTTCCTTCAGCACTTGTGGTGGGACAGTGCCCTCCTCTACCACACCTGAGAAATGAATGCTCACTTAGGGGGTGCCAGAATGGCTTGGTTGAATGGCTCAGAATCAACGGCTGGAGGGAGGGACACAGCTGCCCGCCCACCCACATATACAGTGGTACCTCAGGTTAAGTATTTAATTCATTCCAGAGGTCCGTTCTTAACCTGAAACTGTTCTTAACCTGAAGCACCACTTTAGCTAATGGTGCCTTCTGCTGCCGCCGCGCTGCCAGAGCACTATTCTGTTCTCATCCTGAAGCAAAGTTCTTAACCCAAGGTACTATTTCTGGGTTAGTGGAGTCTGTAACCTGAAGCGTATGTAACCCGAGGTACCACTGTACATGCACCAGTGACTGGTGTCCAAGGCACTCTGCCTAATGGTTTCCACTATGGGCAGACTTTCCAAATCTAACTCAATCCTATGCTCAGAGCAGCTCACCAGTGTGTGGTTGGGAATGGGCTAGGATGCCGAATTGAAAATTCCAGTTTGCACCCTACTGAATTCTGAAACAGCTTCCATGCTTACGTTTAAAGGAGCATGTCATCAGTTACCCAGGGGAGAAAAATTTCATTAGTTAACACTTGCTCTGAATAATACTCTACCGAATCTACCAACTGGAGTCATGTTGCAATAACCAGCATTGCTGCAAGTGATCCTGTAGCTGTAGGAGAACCTGGGTAGTCTTTGAGTAAATTCATTTCACTTTACTAAAGCTGCAATTTAGACATTCTGGGACACCCAGATGGGAGTTCTCTGTTCTTACATGGTGAACCACAGAAGGGTTAGTTGCAGGAAAGTCATGAAGCTTTACCCTGGAGGCTACTCACCTTAACACTTCTTATACTAATATCTCTGCTGACTGTGGCACTGTATGGATATTGAGTAATATCACTGGCACTACTAGGAATGACACTTAGGTTTACAAGGTAGGATGGTATGTGCTGGCACAGTGACAGGAGCACTCTAGGGATGGCAAATCCACCCTGCTATGATGATGTTCATTGCCATGGGCCAAGTGAGTAGGTGGTGCGGAGCTTCCTTGCTCCATGATAGTCAAAAGGTACATGAATCTGCTTAAGTCCGAGGCCTTTTATTGCTCATCTCCTTCTCTAACCATTTCTTGTGCACTACTGCTATGGTGATGATAGTGCTAGATGATATACTGTTGTTGTTGTTGTTTAGTCATTAAGTTGTGTCTGACTCTTCGTGACCCCATGGGGTCCTGTCTTCCACTGCCTCCCGCAGTTTGGTCAAACTCATGCTGGTAGCTTCGAGAACACTATCCAACCATCTCGTCCTCTGTCGTCCCCTTCTCCTTGTGCCTCCGTCTTTCCCAACATCAGGGTCTTTTCCAGGGAGTCTTCTCTTCTCATGAGGTGGCCAAAGTATTGATATACTGTAGCCTGCGCCAAAGAGCCTGACCCAATGAGCTTCCCAAGGTCTAAAGCAGTCTAAAGCAGCAATATGGAGCCTGTGGCCCTACAGAGGTTGCTCAACTCCACCTTCCATCAGGGATGATGGGAATTGTAATCCAGTAGCATCTGGAGGGCCACCAGTTCTGACCCACTTCTGGCCTAGACAGCCCTCTTGGGGAGGTAACAAAGGATGGATTTGAGCAAAAGTCTTATCTAGTTCAGCATCCTATATCCCACAATGGTCTACAAGATGCTTCTGGAAAGTCCACAACTAGGATACAACCCACTCCCCAGTAACTGGTGTAAAAAGTCCTGTGCTCTGTCCTCTACTCAAATTGGGCACTCCTTACAGGCTGTGGTGAGAGATTGCCCAAGCACAAATCTCTTGCATATCACCTGGTTTGGTTGTCTTTCCTCATCCCTTTGTGTGAAATCCTTTTAACTGGAGAATCCAGGACCTTGTATAAGCTATGGCCCTACTCCAATATCCTGGTTTTTCAGGGTGGCTCGAGGAGAAGATCAGGAAAGGGGGATGTCAAGAGTGAGGAATACATTTTGTCTTCCTGCAATTTCTGGAAGTTAGCTGGAATATTATCTGGGCATACATGCATTCGATTTCATCTGCCGCAGACCATTTCAAACGCTGTGGAAGGTGGGACATGGGCACTGGTGGTTGGGGTGGTGGCAAGCGTATGCCATGTTTTGGAGAGTGAATAAAGTAAGTCCGATCCAGCCCAATAACGTGAATTCTTGCAAAATATTAAGAGAAGCTTCTTGTGGACAATAGGCTAGCTTTTGGGTGAGGGTTTTCTTTCTCAGTTTTGATTTCTTAACACCCTTTAGCAAAGAGATTTGTTTGAATTCACCTCCATCAGTTTTAATGCTACACTTTCGGATCAGTCTACTTTGTGTTAAGATTCTGCTCCATGTTTGCAGTCATGAGATTGTTGTCTATCAAATGACGGTGTATGTATTTTCATTCCACAGTGTGGGAAGTGACGGAGACAGGATGTTGTGTTACTGGCTGTTATCCATGAAAGGGGCTATTGTCCTTTGTTCATTTATTACTTTCAGAATGACTCCGAGTGTATTATATGTAAATAAAGTAGATTAGCCAAAATGCAGTGCTATTGGTTCTGTTACACAAACTGCGAATACTCTGCAGGATCCCTAAGTGTGCTAATCCCTTTTGGCATCAGTCGCTGTGATGTTCGGGCTGAAGAAAGCTTTTGAAGCTCCCGAACGATCGACCAGGAGGCAGAGAACTTGCCATTTGGGCATGTGTCTCTGCCAGGGTCCTACATGAGAGTAGGACGCTCCTAACACTTTGAAGCCTATGAGGCTTAGAAAAACAAAAAACAAAAACAAAAAAACCATCCTATCAGTTGTCTATCGGGACTTTTGTCCCGAGTCTCATTGCTCTCTTTGTATGGGTGTGTGGGTGCCTGTGTGGTTTTTGATGTGATCACAGCTGGGGGAGGGAAGAGTTAAATTTCCCCTGCCTGTGCAATGCAAGCAAGTACATGTACCCAAGTGGCATCTGTATTTATACAAAGCAAGGAGATTGGCATAAACAGTGGTGCACAGAGTAAGCCTGCAACAGGAGGGTACTCCTAGCCAGAAGAAGAAAGGGCCCAGTCTCTACTCCAGGAAGGTCCTACTGGAGTGTAGGGAAATTGCACTAAAGGATCACCACCCTAGAGGCAATATATAGTCTCTGCTGCCATAACCTCAGCAGGGAGCGGGCAGAGGGGAATGTCACTTCTGTGAAGAGTGAGCAGCCCTTGCAGCTACTAGCGAGGGGAGAGCAGGCCTGAGGTGCTTGCTGGCTTCCAGTAAAAACTGAGAGCAAAAAGCCAAGCTAGGGTGCTACCCTATTACTTTCCGGTGACGGCAGGCTTTTCCTGGTGGCTGATGGGGATGCTGTGCTCCACTCCGGGAAGAGCCTGGGTAGTTGGTGCCGTGATGGATAGCACCCCGTCGGGAGACAGGGCCGAGGTGATGGCTGCCGGGTCAACCCCCTTGGGGATCATGTAGTGGTGGCGGAACTCCCGGGAGATGTAGCTGTGGGAAGGAAAAGACCAAGACCTCTAAGTCTTAGAAGATAAATGTTTGTTTGTTCCAGACTAATGGCGATGACCAGTTTTTTGTTCCTCATGCTTGGCATGAACTTTGATGTAGTCCCCAATCACCTTCACGCTCATCTCTTCAGGTGAAAAATGCTTCATGTCCAACAACACAGAGAACTTGTCTTTGTCCATCTTCACCTCCGAAAGCCCCGTGTCCGGTATCTGCGGCATGGCAGGCATCTGCAGGCTGGGCGTACGCATGTAATAGGGGCTGAGCGTGGCCGGGAACAGGTCGCTCTCAAAGAGCCCTTCGCCAAACCTCTGGTCGAAAAGACGTGGTGGGAAGAGCGACGGGAAGGCCGAAGGGAAGCCCAGGGGCCGCCGCATCCAGGGGTGGTGGATGGCGATGTCCATGGCGCGGAGAGGAGAAGGCGGGCGAGCAGCCGGAGACGCGCACAACACAGAGTGCACCCCTGTGCAGTGCAATTCCAATGAATATAGAAGGGGGGGCAGCATCTTTTTTTGTGTTGTTTTAAATAAACCCAGCATTGCTAACCATGCTGTTAAACAGCATCTCGTCTCATCCTTATTCTGCTACATCCACAAGGGGCTCAGTAGCCCCTGATGAAGAATGGCTTAGGCTCAAAAAACACATCAGGGCTTGCTATTTTCTGTTAAAGATATTTGATACCGTCTTCCTGAGAAAGCTTTTCTCATTGCTTTTGATAACGTGCGTTCAGCCTCCCGGCTTATCCTGCCTTCTTAAAAACCTGCCTGTTGTTAATTTGTAAATTATCAGATCAGGAGATGAGCTAGCATGCAGTAATATGTATTTGATTGGGAGGTGAACCCTGGAGCTGGAGCAACAGTAATATAGTCCCCTCTTTCTTGGAGCTCGTCTCATTCTTTGTAGGTGGTCTTTTATTTACAGCCTTATAGTCAGTGGCAGCACAGCAAAAACAACTAATGGAGTCCCGTGGCATCTTGAA